CAGAGTTTAAGAACGCAAAAATTGATGCGTACTTAGACAAGGAGGGCATATCTCAAAACTTCTCTGCAACAAGAACACCACAACAAAATGGTGTGTAGAAAGAAAGAATAGCACATTGATTGAGGCTGCAAGAACAATGCTAGAAGACTCTGGTCTTCCAACCCACTTTTGGGTAGAAGCCATTTCAACCGCTTGCTTTATTCAAAACAGAGCAACGGTGGTAAAAAGGCACATGAAGAGGCCTTATGAACTAATTAACCAAAGAAAGCTTAATGTTAAATTTTTACATGTCTTTGGTTGCAGATGCTTCATTCTAAATGACCCTGACCACCTTGGCAAGTTTGATAAGAAGGCTGATGAAGGTAAGTTTCTTGGTTACTTTACACAAGCCAAGGCTTATAGAGTCTTCAACCAACGAACCAAGACTGTCATGAAAAACATCAACATCTCGTTCGACGATAAAGAGCATGTGACTTCCAATTCTCAAATGAAGTCAAGGGAATTGGAACTCAAGCTTTTATTTGAAGACTTCTTTGGCGATGAGGACATCTCTGTACGTGCACCCAGAGATGAGTCTGCATGTGTAAGTATAGAACCACACACAACAAGAACATCTATCTCTGGTCCTTCACGCACCTATGTTTCCTCTAGTGATCATGCGAAACCACAAGCAGAGAAGACAAGCTCTGGATCAGAGCCCAATCATGTAGAGACAGAGCATAACATCTCTGTTTTTGAACTTGGTTCCTCTGTACCACACACTACAAGAACCCTCTTCACCATCCATGAGCCAAATGCCAAATATGTCTATGGAACATGATCAAATGACTCCGACCTCTGTCTCAGTCCTAACAACAAGATGGACAAAAGATCATCCTCATCACTAGATAATTGGTGAACCTTCAAGCGGCATGAAGACAAGAGCCGCCATGGCAAATGAATGTTTATTCGTAAACTTTCTAAGTATGATAGAGCCAAAGAAAGTTCATGAAGCGCTACAAGACCCAAGTTGGGTTGATGCCATGCAAGAAGAGCTCCAACAATTCGAAAGAAACAAGGTATGGACTCTTGTTCCCTTACCTAGGGATAAAATTGCTATTGGTTGTAAATGGGTTTTCAGGAATAAGAAGGATGAGGATGGGATCGTTGTCAGAAATAAAGCTAGGCTTGTAGCAAAATGCTATTGCCAAGAAGGTATAGACTATGACGAGACCTTAGCGCCAGTAGCAAGGCTAGAAGCTATACGCTTATTCTTAGCCTTCTCTGCACATAAAGGATTCCGAGTCTATCAAATGGACGTCAAGTCAGCCTTTTTGAATGGTAAGCTGAAGGAGGAAGTCTACGTTTAATAACCTCCGGGGTTTGAAAGCTCCACACACCCAGAGTATGTCTATATCTTGGACAAAGCTCTGTATGGACTTAAACAAGCTCCTCGAGCCTGGTATGAACGTCTTTCGTCTTTTCTCTTATCGAATGGTTTTGAAAAAGGTAAAATTGATACTACTTTGTTTATTAATAGGTATAAAGGTGAGATGCTTCTAGTACAAATTTATGTGGACGACATTATTTTTGGATCAACAAACCAGAGGCACTATGATAAGTTCTCTGCTTTGATGAACAACGAGTTTGAAATGAGCATGATGGAAGAATTAACATTCTTCCTTGGCTTGCAAGTAAAACAGAGAGAGGATGGTATTTTATTAGCCAAGCTAAGTATGTCTCTGACATATTAAAGAAATATCAACTCCACAACTCTTCCATAATGAGAACACCAAGCGCAACGGGAACCAAGTTTGACACAGATCCATCTAGAAAACCGGTGGATGTTAAGACTTATCGTGGAATGATTGGATCACTGCTGTATCTCACAGCTAGTCGACCAGACATCATGTTTGCTACGTGTCTCTGTGCTAGATATCAAGCAAATCCTATGGAATCTCATCTATCTGCTGTGAAAAATAATCTTTAGATGCCTAAAAGGAACTCAATTTCTGGGTCTGTGGTATCCAAAGTATTATGGATTTGATCTTATCGCATATACAAATTCTGATCATCTAGGATGCAAACTTGATCGAAAGAGTACATCAGGGAGTTGTCAATTACTCGGAGACAAGCTTATAAGCTGGACTTCAAAGAAGCAGAACTGCGTATCTACTTCCACTGCTGAAGCAGAATATGTAGCCGCAACCAGCTGTTGTTCCCAAGTAATCTGGATGAAAACTCAACTGAAAGACTATGGCGTTGAGTTTGACAAAATTCTAATTCTGTGTGATTCAGAAAGTGCCATCGCAATCACAGTCAATCCTGTGCAACATTCTAAAACAAAGCATATCGACGTACGCTATCATTTCATCAAAGACCATGTAGAGAAAGGTACGATTGAAATGTTTTCTGTAAGTACAGATCATCGACTTGCTGATATATTTACTAAGGCTTTTGATGGAAAGAGATTCAACTTTTTGGTTAGCAAGTTGGGTATGCTCAATCTTCATTAACAAAGACAGAGCCTCTGTATGTACTATACAGATCCTCGGCATCCCTCCTGAGCATACTTCTGTTTTTTTAAGATTTGATCCATGAGACAGAGCCTCTACATAGTACATGCAGAGCCTCTTGCTCAAATTTGTATTGTCTTGTTATACAGAGTCTCTGTACCTTGTTCACCATGCTTGTGCATTACTTATCATTTATGATCCAAGCATAATTCAAGGGGGAGAAAGTCAAGCAAAGCTAATGTCGAGGGGGAGCATTAGATCATGCATCATATAGAGCATCTGTATCTAAAAACTTTCATGATTATAGGACAGAGCCTCTATATGTACTATACAGAGCTTCTGCCTATAAACATAACAAGTTTGTTAGACAGAGGACATGTATAGTCCAACCATGAGCCTCTATATGAGATCCTAAGGTATGTTATCTTTCACTCTATTACTACTCTGGTTTCTTTCTCAAATTCTTTTGAACAAAGCTAAGTACAGTAACTATGTATTCAAATACAGAGCTTGTTTCTCATTTTTGTTGTTTTGTTCAAACCAGAGTATAAACGTTCTTTAAATCTTTTTAAGGCTCTTAAAATATATTTGTACTATATTATAAAGCATTTGACAAAAACTCTTAAAAACCATTTTTTATGCATAAAGTACTATTTATTAATTTATGTTACTTAACACTAAAGATTACAAGTAGATTGTGCGTAAGTACAACTTATTAAAACTCCATATCTGAATTCGTGTAACTAACTGTAGATAAACATAATCAAATACAGGATAAACATCTCTTTTTAAATATAAAACATAATTAAGATAATCATTGAGTTCTAACAGAATACTTAATTATTATATTTATAAAATGTTATATTATTAAGCCAAAAATAAATTATTTCATTATTAAACTTAAATTAAATTATAATAAAAAATANTAAAGAAATTACATAAAAAATGAGAACTTTTAAATAGTTGATTTGATATTAACATTGATATATTTTTTTCAAATTTTTATGATAAATCTTCAAATTTATATTTTATTAAAAAAAAATCATTATTGTTTTCTTAAAAACACATAAAATCGTATTCTAACATCGACAAAGACAAAGAATAAAATTGAACATTTAAATCGAGATGTGTCTCGCTGCATTGCGCGAGTACTTTTCTAGTTATTTAAAAGAGGAAGGCGTACAATTTTTATTATTAATATTTTTTATTAAGCTGTCATCTACTAAATCGTCACCGCCTGATACTTTATATTTTCAAGGCATCATTTGCAGCCTGTTAGGCCACGTGGCATCTCCCCACAGGTGCTTGAGAAAACCGATTTAGTTTCTGATGCTTAGGGGGCATGTTTCACTCAAGTGCTTTAATTTTTTTCTATTTAAACAAATCTTTTTCCCCCAAAATTTCTTTTACGCCTTCAAAGATTTTCAAGATTACTCATCGTCTTCAAGCTCTCAAATTATTACTGCCATTGACGATCTTCAAAAGCTTTCTGCTACTGTAATATGTGGTGGAATCGTCTAAGATCTTTCTCCAAGTAAGTTCATCAAACCCTTCTCCCGATAAGAATCAAGAACCGATTCTTTCTAAACCCTAGTTTTTCAATACCCTCCATCAAACCTGCAACTATGTCTTCATCCGATTCAGGAAACTCTCAAACTCACACCAAAATCCTAAAAACAGTGGAAGAAACCAGCCAAAACGTGGTTCCACTTCCACTGAAACCAAACAACCATGCCCATCATCTCACTCTAGACAGTTTCGACCCAAAAGTTCACCCTGTCATTGACATTCTTCAACATCATTTCTTGAACCTTGCACTTACAAACTCCGACGATCTTGTCCCTGAGCGTTTCATCCAGGAGTTTTGGCAAACCTGTTCCGTAACCGAATCCCAACACGGTATTGTTGGAGATTTCTACATACCCTCCTCCAAGGAGTACATCACTGTCAGGATTTCAAGGTCCCTGTTTTCACGTGTTCTTTAGATTCCAACCAAGACGGATCTTGGTTTGAGTGAGTACACCCCTCTCCCATATGGGGATGAGTTGATAGTTTTCTTGAAGTTCTTGGGATACAACAAGGCCATTCAATATCCTTCTCAGTACCAACGATAGTACCTGCCACCAATGTGGACACAATGTTCAAATTGGTGAACCGATCCTTGACAGGAAAGATTGGAAGTCTTGACATGTGTTCACAAATATCCTTCAAATCATGTATGGGATTTTCTTTGATCTTTCTTTGGACTACTCTTTGATTTTATACACGGAGTTCAAGGCTGCTATTCCAAAGAAGTGCCAAGAGGCAGCAAAGGGGAAGGACTTGTCGGCGCTCCTATTTCCTCGTTTTTTGGGTCTTCTTTTAAGACCCATCCTTGACAAAAAAGATATTAATGTGGCTAATCTGTCTGTGCACAAAGTGAATGTGCGCACTTCATACAAACCAACTGTCAACAAGAAAGGATATGCTACATAGAGACCTATCCCGATGAAACTGTTAGCATAAATGAAGACGAGGGAGATAAGGAGGGCATACAGATGTGTATGTGAGGCACTAGAACCAGTGCCTCGAAACTCGGCACGCATAGGATCCAACCAAGAAGGTGAGGAAACAGAGGAGGCACAAAGGCCTCAGGCAGAGGAGGAAGAAGTGAGACAGGAGAAGGAAAGGGAGAAAAAGAGAAAGAGGGCAGAAGCAAGGAAGATGAGATTTGAAAAAGAGAGAGCAGAGAGAGCAAAACTAGAAGAAATTGCTCGTTTGAAGGAAGAAGAGGAGAGAGCAGATAGAGCAAGACAAGAAGAAATTGCTCGTTCAAAGGAAGAAGAGAGAATCAGAGAAGAAGAGGCCAACTGAGGCTTGGAGCTCTTCTCGAGTTCTAAAGATAATGTTGTTTGGTTCAAATGCAGCAAATGAAGGGGAAGACGCCCTTGATGATGATGTGGGCGTAGCTGTTGAATTCGAAGAAAATGAAGAGGATGAGGAGGAAGGAGGTGATGTAGCTGCTCTGCCTCAGGGCGAGCCAGAGCAGCCTAGGACTGTGAATAGGCACATCTATTTCCCTAGCCCAACTCCCAGTGCTACCACATCATCTAACTCTAGTGGTCGAGACATAGAGATCATTGAACAAGAGGTGCACATCTCGATCCCTAACCTACCACACCAACCAGAGGTCGCATCTGCCTCTGGTCAAATTAGCCAAAGGGAAGCCATATCCCAGAGATCACCCTCTCAAAAGGGTGAAACCTTTGAAAAGATAAGTGATATGTCTCCCCATATCATGTCACTCTCCCAACCAGATGAATTTATTTCCTCTACACTAGTCATTTCCCCACCTTGTTCAGAGCAAGGATTAGGTGCACAAGACTTGCAGACTCTTGACCAGTCTCCTAGTCCACTCGTGGAAGGTCCTCTTGCTGACTCTGAACCTGCCTTGGAACCCCTTCACGACGGAACAGCAGTAGTGCCCTCTCCCCCAAGAGAGACACAAGGATCTGCTGGAAATCCTTCCTCGACCACCATCCCACAAGTCGAGACAGAAGGTGTCCTCGAAACAAAGAGTCACTCTGGTCCTTGTGTTGAGCCACAGGTTACCCCTACAACATATGTCACAAAGGACGAGTTCCAGTCCTTTGCCACCTCTGTGTTGTGCTCTTTGGATGAGCTAAAAATCAACATGGCCCATGTAGAGCCATCTCCTTCTGCATCTGCTTTGGATGAAGTTCGATCATCCTTAGCAGTATTGAGGGCTGAGTCTATGACAAATGCCTCTCGACTCGATCGTTTACAAGAATTGACGACAAACAATGCAGAGACCCTGCAAAGGGTCCTTGCATACATTCAGAGGGATGGAGCTTCCACTTCATCTCAAGACGCTCAGGCACTCATTCCTCTGAATGTCCCTGTTGATTATGTCACCTAGTCAGCAATGAATGCTCTGGGTGATCGACTCCTCCAAAAGGTGGCCAACTTCACATCCAACTTCAACGACAAGGCCAAGGAGGCAGCAGCCAAAGTATGTCGTTCTTTGGTAGCCTTCGTATATCGGACAGACATGGAAATTCTCAAAGCCACAACCACAGCAGAAGAGATCATTGAGCTTTTTGAGACAAAGATCAAGGCCATGCCACCAGCGTACAGAGGCCAAAAAGGAGGATGGAACCAACTGCATGTGCTAAGGCCTCGAAGAAGAGGAGGCTTGACGACGATGAGGACCTAGACATGTTTGGACCTCAAAGTCGTTAAGAGGGAGAGAACCAGCCAACAGCCGCCACAAGCACCATTCCAAGGGCTGCCTCCTTTGCCTCTGCTCCATGCCAACAAGCGCCAGCATCATCAAGTCAGAGATCACAAGATGTGCAAGCACATGTAGAGGCGATAAGAAAAGGGAAGATGCTCATGGCATTAACAACAGAGCCAGAAGGGAAAAAGAAAGATGAAGAGGATGTGATTCAACTCCTATCTGTATACGTCTCTTCATCTGAATCAGAGCCTCTTTCATCCTCTACAGAATATGGCATGGAGACTGCTGCTCCATCTACAAGGAGGCGTGAAGAAGAAGTGGTGGCAGTCAATGTAGCCGACCCGGAGCTACTATCTGCTATTCCAACGGCTGTCCCACTTGAAGATGTAACAGTTGCTGCTCCACCACCATACAGGAACATGCACAGAGCTAAGGTTCCTGTTCAAGGGACCAGAGTTGTCACACCTGCTGTGAGGCAGGAGGTTCCCATTGTTTGTCCCTAAATTCACTGATCAATCTTCATTAAGCTTCACAATATGGCAGATCTGGATATTGCATTAAGAACATTCATATGAACATTGAGAGATAGAAAGTCAATCTTTAAAGCTCT